TTCCATATGTCCTTACTGTGCGATTTGTCAAATTTAGAATTAATTTGATAATACGACAGGTATACAACCTTAGCCGGAACGGCATTATAGAGCCAGTTAGATAACCGAATAAATTCGTTTAATTTCAGTTTGTTACAATTTAGCCTTTTGAAATGGGTCTTAATTACTATTGTCACTAATACTCGTATTCCCAACGGACTTAGGAGACTTATCGTAGTTAAACTAACTCTCAAGTATACAGATAAGTGGTCAACGGGTAATAGGTTTAAGGACTTTACTTTATTGAGATAAATCCTAGTTAAAAAATCTATTGAAAAGCCCGTCAGAAAACTCTTAGCAATAATGATCAAAGGGATCTCAAAATGGTTAAATGGAACTGAACAGCTAATTTAGTGCTCGATTTTATATAGCCTTGGCCTCCACCGATGGTGCATATGTTAACATCTTAGACATAGCGACTTACACTGTATAGTATAGGAATTTAGATAGAAGAAGTTAACATAAATCAGTATAAGTCAACGCTAATTAACAATAATAAATTAATATGTGCCAATTAGAGCCTCAAGGCTCAGCACGAATTACATTTTACGCTTAGGTATTAGTATTCAATTACTTAGACATTAATCTTTACAATAAATAAGAGCCATTAAGGCTTATTAAACTACTGGAACAACAACAAATTATATTAGATATTTTAATTAACACGGCCATTATTAGTTCAGAGCTTGGCTTCGTAACACAGTTATAAATATAAATTTCATGGATAAATGATAATCAAAACACTATCGAAACCTAATGATATCATGGCATCGATCTTACATTGATTACCATTGACTGGAAATCCAATCAATTTTAACATAATTTTAAATATTTCGATAAGGCTACATAAAGCTACAATATAATAATTCCATAAGGCTACGAAATGCTGATGCTATTGTCTAGCATTTAAGATCATAATTCTGCGACATTTAATATACTTGGCCACTATAAACTAAGCTCTATCCAACACAGTTTGATCTAAAAGACACATCAAAAATATAGTGCTCAATAAGGCTGAGGTACTGCAAATTACTATATTTAGTATACGTGGCTAATATAAAGTAAATTCATTCGGTGACTATAAAATTACTATCCTCTGATGATGTTTAACTCCAAGTGTGAGGTTTAATTTCAGTTAATAAATTGATAAAATAAATTGTGCAGTAAGGTTGAACTGTGCTACATCGTGAAGTTCAATACGCCTTACAACCATCAAATAAATTCGTTCGAAGACCACGAAATCTCTATCCTCCGGTGACGTTTAATCTCAAGCATAAGATTTAATTTTTGTTGATAAATTGATTACTCTAGTAACTACTTCCGGATCTGATAGTCTTCCATCCAAGAGCGTACTATCAATAACGGATAGAGATAACCCGTCAAATGATCTAGCTTATACTGTTTTTAAACAATTTCACTAGCCTTATTATCTTATATTATTATAATTATTTATTTATCTCTCATTTACCTTTATGCTACAATGAAATAATTATTATCTGAGATAACAGTGCCAATTAATATCAAGGAAAGTATTGATCAAATTAG